TTTTTATATTTAACTTTCTTCATCTTTTTTCTCAAGTTTCAATTATTTCCTCGTTATCTTCTTTCTTACTCTAAAACTCCAATGCACGCCATCAATGGCTTTGAATGCTTCTACCACATCCTTTAGAATGATTTCTAACCCAACAAGTCATGGCTGCAATTTCAAGATCCCTTTTGATGTGCCGTGAATCAAAATGCATAAACATATAATTTTGATTACACTTATATGATTTTAATTACAGATAAATATAATTTTTTTAATAATAGATAAATACAATTTTTTTTTAAAAAAAAAATTTGTGGAGCAAGAACAAGTTTTATAAGGATAACACATAACAGGAAATTTCTTAAACTTTCAAACCTACAAATAAACAGTTATCAGAAGATTTGAATTGTTTTCACTCTAGGGGATCAAGCATATCAAGAACAAATGATCCCAAGGGCCAAAAATAGATTTTCAATTGAACAACAAAACAAGTTTCAATTGAACACAAAATTATCAAAATTATAAACATATGACTAAAATTGGTGTGGCTGCTGTGCGGGGGTACACAACAGCCACTGCTGTATAGCCAATTGGATCCTTTTCAGGGCCTATTTTGATAATCTGAACCGTTCACATTTTAGAATACATCAAGTAGAACATACTTATAAAAAATTAAGTTAATCGGATATCGTTTACCCTTTCATCCACTCATATTTGTATTCATTTTAATACTTTAAATTACAATTGTTATTTATTTTTGTAAATACAAATGTGAGTAGCTAAAAGGGTTAACAATATCAGATTAACTTGATTTTTTGCAGATATATTTTACTCGATATACTTTAAAATGTGAACGATTTAAATCATTAACATAGATCCCAAAATGGACCCATTTAACTATACAACAATGGTTGTGGTGGTCCTAGCACAGCAGCCACCCCCAATCCACCTAATACTAGTTGAGAGTGAGCAACCAGCAAACTATTAGTTAGAAAAATAGTTCTTGTCAAAGGCAAACATGAATTATTTTTCTCTTAATATGGATTTTTTTTTTTTTTTTTGTTGTAGTGAGTTATTTATTTGTTTTCATTATGCATACCTTCTTATATATATATATATAATAGTTATTGAGGTTCTAGCTATGTGTGATATTAGATTATGACTGTTCAGACTCCCAAAATAAATAAATAAATAAATATACAAATAACGAAATTAAAACTGTTTAATATTTTGTCAAGGAGGCTAATATGGTGAGAGATATTTTAGGGAAAGTTGTGTTCATGTTGGGCCTCACAACACAACAAATGTACACGCTTTTCTTCAATTTGCATGCATAAATAGACAGGCAAAGAAAGAAAAGAAATAGATGTATGGTTTTGGAGTTATGTATATGCTAAACCAGAACGGCAAGTCCTTATCAATCTCCATTGGTGTCGATCTTTTTTCTTTTTTTGTTTTTTTATGGCTGCTCAAAAATTAGTCAGTATAGGCGTCTCATCTGTATGTTTGTGGAATGGTGTGGCGAGGATTGCCTTGAATGGAGACAAAACCCGGGTTTTGAATAGTAAAAGTTGTATAGGTTTGATATTCCTTCCACGTTCCTAAATTCAAATACGCATATTCGCCTTGCAATCCTTAGACCTAGGGATATAAGAAAAATCAAAAAAATTGACCAAACCGATTGAATCGGACCAAAACCACCATATTTGATCTATTTTTTAATAAGAATTGGTCAAGGAGGCTAATATGGTGAGAGATATTTTAGGGATAGCTGTGTTCATATTGGCTTCACAACACAACAAATATACACGTCTTTCTTCCATTTGCATGCATAAATAAACAGACAAACAAAGAAGAGAAATAGATGTATGGTTTTGGAGTTATGTATATGCTAAACCAGAACGGCAAGCGTCCTTATCAATCTCCGGTGGTGCCGACCTTTTTTCTTTTTCTGTTGTTTTATGGCTGCTCAAAAATTAGTCAGTATAGGCGTCTCGTCTGTATGTTTGTGGAATGGTGTGGCGAGGATTGCCTTGAACGGAGACAAAACCCGGGTTTTGAATAGTAAAAGTTGTATAGGTTTGATATTCCTTCCACGTTCCTAAATTCAAATACGCATATTCGCCTTGCAATCCTTAGACCTAGGGATATAAGAAAAATCAAAAAAATTGACCAAACCGATTGAATCGGACCAAAACCACCATATTTGATCTATTTTTTAATAAGAATTGGTCAAGGAGGCTAATATGGTGAGAGATATTTTAGGGATAGCTGTGTTCATGTTGGGCTTCACAACACAACAAATGTACACGTTTTTCTTCCATTTGCATGCATAAATAAACAGACAAACAAAGAAGAGAAATAGATGTATGGTTTTGGAGTTATGTATATGCTAAACCAGAACGACAAGCGTCCTTATCAATCTCTGGTGGTGTCGACCATTTTTCTTTTTCTGTTTTTTTTATGACTGCTCAAAAATTAGTCAGTACAAGCATCTCGTCTGTATCTTTGTGGAATGGTGTGGCGAGGATTGCCTTGAACGGAGACAAAACCCGGGTTTTGAATAGTAAAAGTTGTATAGGTTTGATATTCCTTCCAC